GGCCACTGGCCTCAGAGTGTTTTAGTTCTTGCCCTTGCCGACACCTGTGTCAACAGTGCTTTATGAACTACTCTGATTACCCAACTTCCTGGATATGCAATCTGCTTCCTGCTGGGGCCCTGCAGGATATACAGGAGATGCCAACTGGGGCCTGTGAAGCTTCCTGCTGTGCTGACACCTCAGACCCATAGGCCCCTTGCCAGTCTTTTAATGGAGCCTTGCACAGAGCTCCCAAAAAATTCATTGTGACCTCCCATGACTGATAACCAATCTCTTCCCTGCATTCTACACCCTTAAAGTCTTGAACTGGTTTACTTCCTCAACCCTCAGCCCAGGACTTTCTCCCCAAGCAACGACTTTAGAACTTGCCTCTGAATCACTGTCTTCCACCTTTAGGTTCTTTTGTGTGGTTTTCCATGCACACCTTTCTGTGCTTTCTGGAGAGTTCTTCCCCCCTTCCTCATCAAGGCCCAACTCCCCTATCATCTCTTCTCAGCTAAAAGCAATATTTACTCTTGGGTGCAGGAAAACTTGGCTACCCTTCTCTGACATCACTTGCCAACCTCTGTTGAGCAGTGTGGGTTTTTTTCTTCTTTTTTCCATCTTTTTTTTTTATTTGAATTAGAAACAAGATTGTTTTACATGTCACTCCCAGTTCCCACTCCTTCTCCTCCTCCCCTGCCATCCCCCCACCAACTAAAACCCTACCTATCACATATCCTTTCTGCTCCCCAGGGAGGGTGAGGCCTTCCATAGGGGGTCATCAGAGTCTATCATATCCTTTGGGATAGGGCTTAGGCCCACCCCTGGGTGTCTTGTCTCAGGGAGTATCCCTCTATGTGGATTGGGCTCCCAAAGTCCACACCTATGCAAGGGATAAGTAGTACAGGAAGTCCTGTAGATTTCCAAGGTCTCCTCATTGAAACCCACGTTCCTGGGGTCTGGATCAGTCCCATGCTGGTATCCCAGTTATCAGTCTGGGAACCAAGAGCTCCCCAATGTTCAGGTCAGCTGTTTCTGTGGGTTTCACCAGCCTGGGCTGGATTCCTTTGCTCATCACTCATTCTTCTCTGCATCTGGATTCCAGTTCAGTTCAGTGATATTTTAAGTGTATATCTATCCTATACCATAGCTTCAGCTCCCTGGAAGACAGCCCCTCTAACCAAACATGGTGCCTCAAACTGTCTCTGTGCTCAGAAGCAGTGTGACATGGATAGATAGATGATGGACAGATGAACATTCTTTGTAGCTTCATTCATTCTTCCTGCTGGAGAGCTTCTCAGCCAGAGATCTGCCATTGTTTCTTTCATTCTTATTCACCAACCTCATTAGAACACAGTATCACCTTCAGTATTTATTTCTTAGCAACTGTTTTCAACTCTTGGAACACAAAAGGTGCTAGTGATAACAGCTAATAATAACATAAAAGTATTTGAATTAACATTCTGAAAAAACATTTTAGTTGGTAAATGTGATAATACTTGGGATTATAAATATACCAAAAAACTCAGTGTTTTACTCTATGTTTCATTCTGTTGGTATTTAAAGGAAAAGAACAGATCCAGACTGGTAAATAATGCCCATCCAAATGTGTTAATTAGAAGTTGTAAAGTCTTTCAATGTCTTCTGTGTATTGCAAACATTATTTGTCCATCCTATTATTCAATGTCGTTGTGTTCAACAAAATGTGATAATCTTTAGGTAAAATTAGTTCAGCATTTTGTTTATAAAGACACATCACTATCACATTCTACTTGTTTATAAGGAAAATCTATGGGTGAAAAGCTTGTTAAAATGACACATGTCCCATAATGTATAAGCTATACACAATTGTAAACAAAAATGTCTACAGGAGTTAGCAACTGGAAAAGAATTAACTCTCTCCTTCTCTTCAACTTTCCTTCTCTCCCTCTTCTCCTCCCTTGCTTTCTTTTCCTCCTTCTTTCTCTTGATTACTGGGCTCTTATTAAATTCTCTGACACTGATTTTGATGCCTAAATTTCTGCTAACATTCCCTTCCTAAAATTCCTCCCATGGACTTTGTCTCTGGGAGAGAGACCTTGTAGTGGCACTCTTGGTCCTTGATAGACTTATGGTTTTATGTTCCCCCTCTCTCAGGTTTGTGGGTATCATATCTTGTTCCCTATGTCTCTAATGGCTCCTCTCTTTCAGCCATGTTACCAGTGTAGGAAACTTCAGTCAAAAAAAAAAATAGGCCCTTCACGTAAACCATTTGGTTTTACCTTAAGAAGAAATACAGTAGCAAGTCCTGTCAATCATGTGCTTAAATATTACTTGAAAGACACAGAGAAGAAAAGTACACCATTATAAAAAGGCTGTACATTAAATCATTTTCATTTGGGAGGGAAGTTGCTGGATTTGTTTCGCTGCCATTTTTCCTTCTTGGATCTTCTGTTCCTAACCTGGAACTATGTGGCCCAGGGCATAGGTTTTTGCTGCTTGGAGTGGAGCAGCACAAAAGTAGAAACCACTGTGTTTATGGAGGATTCAAAATTATGAAAAGCATTATTATAAGAATCCTTCAATCCAGATGGTTTCTAGTAAAAAGGACAACAGAATATACTAATACCTTTCTTAGTATCAGTTGACAATGTGACAAGCTCTCCTGCTTCTCCTGTCTTCTGTCATTAGTGCTAGGCAGCATGGAGCCTCTGAGGAGACAGGACAGTCTCTTATCATTAAGTTCTCAGATCAGCAATCCCTCAAATGGCTTTTCCTGACTACTTCGTATATGTATACCAACCCCAAGCCACTCCTTATTCTAAATTCATCACCGCCCTTACCATTACTTAATATATGTGATATGTAATATTTATTTTTAGCCTTCATTTTAAGTTGATAGAAAAGTCAACTGAGTAATCATTAGACTAAAAGGGAACTGAGTGTCAAACTAGTCTTAATAGAACTTTGTTAACGAAAGCCACACATTTGATTATCATATGTTGGATATGCTGTGTTAAGATAGCAAAAGACAGATTGTGTTTATATAGCCAAGTAGTCACTGTCCATTTTTTAATTCTAAAGCAATGGGAAAAAAACAAATTTTATTCTTTATAAAGTGCTATGAAAATTGAATGCAGTTGAATACTAGTAAATACTGTCCTACTCACAGCGGTGTTTTCCATTGCACCCCCCTTTTAAAACAAATGCTTTCACAGAAATCTGAAAATGAGTCCTACAAAGTTGGTAAGGGAAATGAAATTCTTCAGTTCAGCTTCTCATCCTCTAACACTCTAATGGACCTTCCAATTCTATATGTAATATATGTAATCGTTATGTATTCTACTTTAGTATATAATTAATCTACTCATTTAACACATTTATAGATTCCTTTACTTCTTGCCAGGCGCTATGTTAGATGTCAGGTGTTTTAGCAATAAACACAGCAAAGACCCTCCCACATAAAGCTTTCCAATGAATGAGGAATAAGGGGATTAAATAGAAGCACCAGTAACCATGTGTGAGTAGTAATGCCAGATATAAATAAAACACTGTGAGTTCTGAGGACAGACAGAGGAAGGCTATTCTGTCTTGGGTTTGGGGAAAGAGTCTCAAAAGAAGTATTTTGAATTAAAATAAAAAATTGCCAAGTGCTGGCTAGCAGACTCTACTCAGGAACTGCTACCATTAGATTGGCCTGTAGGAATATCTATGGGATATTTTCTTGCTTGCTAATTGATTTGGGAGGATCAGGCCACCGTGGACTGTGTAATCCCTAGGCAGATGGACCTGGGCTGTAGAGGAAAGGTAGCTGAGAAAGTTGGTAATCAGAAGTCCTCTGTAGTTTCTACTTCAAGCTCTGACATGAGTTCATGCCCTGGCTTCCTTTGATGATGGACTGTAATCCATAAGATAAAATAAACCCTTTCCTCCTCACATTGCTTTCAGTCAGAGTGTTTCTCACAATAGGGAAGCAAATTGAACATTAGAGGATAGCCAAGAGGAGAAAGCAAGGATGTATGACAGAAAACAGAAGATCCGCTTAGTATATCGGCCCTGTGGAAATGTCCTTTGGACCACAGAGGTGATTTTTGCTTTAAAAACGAAAAGGAAAGGAAAGAAAAATAAATATACTTGATTAGTTGTAAGTAGTTCTTGTGACATGAAGCATGAAAATTGTTTTATTACTTAGATATGGGCAAAATCAACAATAGAAAATAAGCCTATGGCATTATTAAATATTTTAAGCTAAAATTTAAAATTTGGTCATTCCAAACTAATCTAATCTGAATACTATAAACAAAGCAGTCCAAAAACGTGAGAGTTGGGTGTCAGAACTTAAATACCACTAACTAGATGCTCTTATTATGACCTAAAACATCCTTTAAAACATCTCATTGAAGGGAGCTGAAGAAATGGCTCTGTAGTAAGAGTACTACTTATTGCTCTTCCAGAGGACATGTTACCTATATTAGGCAGTTCTGGTGTCCTCCTCTAGCCTCCATGGACACTGCACTCATCTGCAGAAACATATACACATATATAATTAAAAATGAAAACAAAATCTTCAAAAAAAACTCATTGAGGGCTTTCAACACTTTCTCATTATTGTGTCTGAAATGATCTTTTTGGCACAAAGCAGAAAAGTGTAATCAAATTAACAAGCTATTGGCACTTTCCTTTTCCAAAATGTTTTATTATTTATTCGCTGTGTGTGTGTGTATTATGTATGTATGTATGTATGTATGTTCCCTGGTGAGTTTATGTGTACTAGGTGCTATCAGATGCCAGAAGAAGGCCTGAATCCCCTGGAACTGGAGTTACAGGGGTTGTGAGCCACAGTATGGATGCTGGGAGCCAAATGCAGTTCCTCTGCAAGAGCAGCCAGTACACTTAACCACTGAATGATCTCTCCAGCCACATTGGCCGCTGTTCAAATGTGCTCACCATGATCTGGTAATTGTCCAGTTCTGACTTTTGATCACTGACCAAATCAATGATGGAAAATAAATGCTTGATCATTCTGTTTCCACCCACAGTTGTAAATCAGGATGGCCAGCCTCTCATTGAAGGAAAACTTAAAGAGAAACAAGTCAGATGGAAGTTCATCAAGAGGTGGAAAACTCGTTATTTTACACTGGCTGGAAACCAACTTCTGTTTCAAAAAGGAAAATCTGTGAGCTGTTTTTTTGACACATTTTAAACTTGAATTGTTTTGCTTTCAAAATTTGCTTTCAAAATTCTTTCAAAATCCACCAAAGTCCTATAGATAGTGTCTTAGTTAGGGTTTCTTTTGCTGTGAAGAGACATGATCTCAGCAACTCTTATAAGGAAAACATCAATTGGGGCTGGCTTACAGTTCAGAGGAGTCCATTGTCATCATGGTGGGGAACATGGCGTCGTGCAGGCAGACATGGTGCTGGAGAAGTAGCTGAGAGTTCTACATCTGGATCAGCAGACAGCAGGAAGAGCACTTTCCTCCAAGGCCACACCTACTCCTACCTCCTAATCTGTCATTCCCTATAAGTCTATAAAGGCCATTTGGAAACCTATACCTGTGCTTCAGGTAGCTTACCTTCTGAGTGCCTCATGCTTAAGTCTGTCCTTAAAATCTTTATTCAAAAGAACTCTACAGCAATCTGGCTAGTCCTGCAATTCTTTGCTGTGTGGAAGCCATGAATCCCAGTTTGGCCTGACTCAGGCTCTCTAAAAGATTAGGAAAATTCCCCAGGCTGCTGAAGGTGACAGTGAAGCTGTGTTCTTTTTTCTGTTCTCCAAGAGAAGAACACCATGGGAGGAGGTGGTGAGACAGGATTGGATTATAAAGCATTGGCTGACCTTGAACTTATGGTGGTCATCTTACCTCTGCCTCCAGAGTGCTAGGATTAGGGTGTGCCACCACACCAGGCACCAGTATGTGGTGGTGGTGGTGATGGTGGTGATGGTGGTGCTCGTGGTGGTGATGGTGGTGGTGATGGTGGTGATGGTGATGGTGACAGTGGGGGTGATGGTGGTGACAGTGGTGGTGGGGATATTCTTGAGAGACAGTCTCACTATGTAGTCCTGTCTGGCCTCAAACTCAAGAGTTTTGGCTGTTTACATTGAACATGCCATTATACTTTCATTCTGAAAAGATGGTTAGGGTAGCACAGATCGCCTTTCCTCTATCTTTCTATTCTATGGTTCAGGAATGGAGTGATATCACCCACAGTGGTAGGGCAGATCTTTTTTACCACTGATTCAAATGTTGGTCTCTTCTGGAAACATACAGGCACACTCAGAAATCATGTTTTAACAGCTGTGTGGAGACCCATTAGCTCAATCAGATTGACCCATATCTTTAACCATTGTATAAACTAAATTATTGTCTTATTAATAAATTACAGGGGTAAACTACTTACAAGTTAACAATTCTCTCTGGAGAAATGCACTATGTCTTTAGAATTCTCACTGTAGACTTTACTGGAACATTGTAATCAGTGAGAGTCAAGTATCTGAATTATGATGAATTCTGAGCAAATATTTCTTTAATAAGACCTCCATCAAAAATTTTTGAATTAGAAAATAGCATTTTTGTGATACTTTGAAGTTATGAAAGTTTCTCAGTTTGTGTCATACATAGGTGGCTTTTCTCTGGCTAAAAAGCTTTTCAGAGTATAAGTATGATGGCATGTTCAATTTAAACAGTTGAATTAAAGAAATAGGGGGTTTTTGGAATAAGTTTACACTGACGCATTTTAAGTGTTTAAAATAGCCATGTGAATTTCCTACAATTTCTCAAGACCTTGAGAATAGGCATGAAGATACAATATGAGATTCTGTATGGTTGGTTTTATGTTGAGGTCTTTAATCCATTTGGACTTGAGTTTTGTGATGGGGATAGATATGAATCTTTTTGCATTCTGCTACAAGTCTACATCCAGTTATGCCAGCAACATTTGCTTTCTTTTTCTATTTTAAATTTTAGCTTCTTTGTCAAAAATCAGGTGTCCATAGGTGTGTGGATTGATATCAGGGTCTTTGATATGATTCCATTGGTCTACCTGTCTGTTTTTATGCCAATACCAAGCTGTTTTCATTAATATAGCTCTATAGTAGAGCTTGAAGTCAGGGTTGGTGATGCTCCCAGATGATCCTTTATTGTACAGGGTTGTTTTCACTACTGTAGCTTTATAGTAGAGTTTGAAGACAGGTATGGTGATGCCTTCAGAAGTTCCTTTAATGTACAAAGTTTTTTTTTTTTTTTTTGCTATCCTGGTTTTTTTTGTTTTTCTATATGAAGTTGGTTATTGTCCTTTCGAGGTCTGTGAAGGATTTTGCTGGGTATTGCATTAATTCTGCAGATAGCTTTTGGTCAGACTGCCATTTTTACTATGTTGATCCTACCTATCCAAGAGCATGGGAGATCTTTGCATTTTCTGATGTCTTCTTCAATTTCTTTCTTCAAAGACTTAAACTGCAGTACATTTTTAACATTCTTATGGTCTTGATTTCCATGAGTCAGCTAGACAGCAGTGTTCTCACTCCATTCCTATCTTAATTGACCTTCTGTTCTCCTTTCATTACTACAGGAACTCTCTATTCTCCATTAGTTATGGTGTATCAGTTTATCATAAGTTTAAACAATAATTTATATTGAGCTATAAATATTGACATTTTAAAATAAAAAGAATATGTTTCCTCTTTAAATATAATTATTAGAATAAAATAAAATACCATAACATATTAATTCACTATCATCCATCTTTTATTTTAAAAACACATATTAATCTCTTCAGTGGAGATATTTGTATTACTTATGTTTCCCTTGAACTCATATTTCTATGAGTTGACTTTTGTTGTCCCAATGACTCTTTGATGCCTTAGCAAAGTCTTGAGCTGTAGAATGTGAAAGGCCTGGCCCTCTTGGAAAATTCCAAGAGCCAGTGACTTAGGCAGCAGTAGGAACCATCTCATAATCTTTCCTTTCCATTCATTTCAGAAAGACGATCCTGATGATTCCCCAATAGAACTCAGCAAAGTACAGAGTGTGAAGGCTGTGGCTAAGAAACGCCGGGATCGCTCTCTCCCTCGGGCTTTTGAAATCTTCACAGATAATAAGACCTATGTTTTCAAAGCCAAGGATGAGAAGAATGCAGAAGAGTGGCTGCAGTGCATCAATGTGGCGCTTGCCCAAGCAAAAGAGAGAGAGAGTAGAGAAGTGACCACGTATCTATAAAGACATATACACCACCCCTTATGACCATGATGATAAGCATTGCCAATGTCAACAGAAAGAGAAATTCACTATGGCATACTGGGTTTCACTAAATACCAGTGAAATCATTATCCCTAAAAAGGAGGGCCTAAAGTGACAGGGTTCTCAGTAAATCTCACACCCTCACAACTCTTATATTAACTCCAAGATATCTTGAAGTACATGAGAAAGAGAAGCCATAGAGTTTCCGTTGGAGCATGTAGGGGGCTAGGAAGAGAAAGTGATGAATGAAGAAACTTCTGTAGCTATGTGATTTATGACTGTAAGAAAACAGTAAGTGGGGCCAGTGAGAAGGCTCAGCAGGTAAAATGTACTTGCTGTCAAGCCTGATGGCCTCAGTTCTAGCCCCATAATTGACCTGGTGGAAGGAGAGAACCAACTTCCAGGAATTATCCTCTGTCATCCACGTAACATGGTGCATTCATACCCCCAGCAAATAAATAAATAAATAAATAAATAAATAAATAAATAAATAAATAACTGGGATTGTAAAAACAAATGCCTGAAAGATCTGCTTTGAAGAAAAACCACTACATTTAAAACATATATTTTTAAAAGCTATTAGGAAAAGTTGAACTAATGTATGCTGAAGAAAACCAATAATTTTAAGATGAGCAGTGGCAGCACATGCTTTTAATCCCAGCACTCAGGAGGCGAGATAGGCCAATCTCTGTCAACTTGTAACCAGCCTGGTCTACAGAGTGAGTCCCCGGACAACCAGGGCTATACAGAAAAATGCTGTCATGAAAAACAAGAAAAACATTAACTTTAATATATTAGTTACCTTTCTGTTGCTGTTATATAATACTCTGACAAAAGCAATTTAGGGGAGAAGGGGTTTATTTTGGTTTATGATTCCAGAGGTATAGAGTCTACTGTGGCAGGGAACATGAGGCAACAGGCAGAGAAAGCATAGCAGCAGGCACAGGAAGCTGGCTGATTTTCCTTCACAGAGAGGAAGCAGAGAGAGCTGGAAATAGGGTAAGGCTACAAAACCACAAAACCCAACTCCACTGGGCACTTCACCTAGCAGGGCTCTACCTCCTAAGGGTTCCATAACCTCCTGAAACAGCACTACCAACTAGGGACTGGGCATTCAAATACATGAGCCTATGGGGATTATTTACTATTTAAACTTTCACATTTTATTTCTCTTCTCAATACAAAAGATGCTAACACATAATACAAGGATTCTTGTTACATAATTAAACTTAAGCTCTAATTAGAGTGTAATTGTCATGTTTAAGCACACAGTTATCTCTACTGTCTAGAGCAGTAAGTATAGATACAATAAGCATGGAAAGATACCTTTCTAATGTGCATCACCTCCCTTAAACTTAAAGGTTTTTAATAAAAATTCTGTTTTTCATCTCTGTAGTAAGCCTTGTATTGTCCAAATTATGAACATGTATTAGTTTTTGCCTCTACCCATATATAATCCTGAATTCATAAGCAGCTCAGATGACTTCCAGTGACTCAGGCCTGGAAAAATGTTCTACCCCTTGAGTCGTGGAGTGTGGGACCTGAAGCTTGCTTCTAACTTACATAATAGGACAAAGATGATAAGATAGTGTCTCCTATAATTGTGTGACATTACAACAGACCTCTAACCCTGAGACAATAGAGAGCTTCTCAGGATCTAGCCCAGCCACCACTGTGGTGGCAGCCATGACATACTCTGATCAGAGGGACCAGGCAAGATGAATGCTTGCCCCACAGAAACTGTGCAATAATAACTATATTCTGCTTTAAATGCAAACCATGCAGTGATTTTTTATGCACTGATTAATTCATATAAAACCCTCCTGGTAATATATCAAAGATAACTTTTTTCTATAAAGATGATTTATTATGCATTTTAGTATAGAAGCCTGGAAAAGACTTAAGTTGTCACTACAATGACACTACTGTTAACTCACTGGCATAGGAAATATTAAAGGAGTCATACTTGAGCAAAGAAACTTAATTCAATTTTACCATGTAAAGTTTGAGAAGATTATGAGCCACAGGAGTTATTATACATTGGAAATAGAGTTCAAGAGGTCAAAATTTGGGTCCACTGCATATGTAGGTAATTGTGAAAGATATGAAATTGGCTGAAATTGCTGGAGGAAAATAAGAAATGGAAGAATTGATGTGGGCCCCTTGGGATACCAATACTTAGGCAAAGACAGGTTATAGCTGATCAGTATTCAGAGATGACATAGTCCAAGAGACATGATATCACAAGAAGTAAATTAAGAAGGATTTTCAAGGTGTCAACAATTTGAAGTCCTAAAGATAAAGCTTAACTTTCATAATTAGGAAGCAATTGGTGTCACTGGTAAGAACGATTTCATTGGAATGATGGAGTAAAAGTTAACTTTCAATGTGTTATAGTAATTGACTGTCACATTTTAATTTTTTTAAAGGTGAGGTTAAGGTGAAAGAGCAAGGATAGATAAATGATTTCTTATCTTGTTTTTAGGTGAAGTCATCTTAAGAAGGAAAACAGTTTAATAAATGTCAACAAGGAAAGACAAGAGTAAAGTTGCTAGATGCATTAGAGAATAATTTTTTTCAAGTTCAGTATGGAGGAGCCAGGGAAGTTTCTTAGTCAGAAGGGACCTTGCCTACAAACATAAGCTGCTGAGGTCAAATCCCCAGCACATACATGAAAAGCCCAGCATGGCTCTGGGTTCCTGTAATCCCACACTGAGAGCTGGAGACAGGTGAATCCCAAGAGTTCCTTGGCCCACCAGTCCAGCTGAAATGGTGAGTGCCTGGCTCAGTGAGAAACCCTGTATGGTGGTTTGGATGAGAATGGCCCCCATAGGCTTACATATTTGACTACTTGGTCCCCAGTTGGTGGAACTATTTGGGAAGGTTTAGGAGGTGTGGCCTTGTTGGAGGAGGTGTGCCACTGGGGGTGGGCTTTGAGGCTTCAAAAGCCCTTGTCATTTCAGGTTAGTTCCCCATCGCCAACCCTGCCACAGGTTGTTGTCACAACTTACTACTCCAACACCATGCCTTCCTGCCTGCCATGCTCCTTGCCATGATGGGAATGGACTTACCCTCTGAAACTGTAAGTCCCCAATAAACTCTTCTATAGTTGCCTTGGTCTTGGGTGTTTGGTCACAGCAATAGAGAAGTAACTAAGACCCTGTTTTAAAGCAAAAAGACAGAGAGCTGTGTAGGAAAATACCTGATATTCTTCTCTAACATCCACACTCATGAGCAGTCAGATACTTGCATGCATGTACCATACACATGAAACACACACATACACACACACACACACACACACACACACACACACACACAAGCTCAATATAGATTAAGCAACAATTTACTGAGTACCTGCTAAGCAACAGGGACCATACCTGGCCTGAAGATTCCAAGATAACATGACAACCTCTATTCTCCCATCCCACTCCCCACCCCGAAATACTCAACTAGATTTTTATTGAAAGCAAAAGCACACACACAGTAAAGCACATGAAGAAACTGACTTCCCCATTGGAGGAATTCATAGGGTTTTTTTCTGATATATTTAAAGTCAATTACAGTGGGGCGGGTACTATTTCTTTCTCCAAGAAGTTTGCTATATAGTGAAGACAGACAATTACAACAAAATATCCCATGCTTTATGTATCCAGTCCTACGGAAATAGAGGAGATGATGTCATTTTAATGCTCTCCAATACTGTTTCCCTGAGTTTATTGAACAAATATTAACAATATGGATAAACAAAGAGCAAAATAGCAGGATAGGAAACTGCCCTACAAATGTAAAGGAACATACAGTCCATTCCTGAAATGAAGATTTTTAAGATGGTATAGCATCATTACAAGGTGTTAGGAAGATCCGCATTCAGGAAGGTAACTTTTATGGTAGTACAGCTCATGGAATACCAATCAAAAATTGGAGCAAAGTCCATAGGACAGGGTAGCCTTGTGGCAAAGTGCATTCTTAGTATGCATGAAGTCCTGGGTTCAATCCCCCCGCTGCACAGAAAAAAAAAAAAAAAAAAAAAAAAAAACTGCCAAAACAGTTGGAAGGCTCTTCTAATGTGTTGAGGGCCGGGACTGATGCAGTCGCTGATACAACATGGAGAAATGATACAATTGTTTGGATATGGCTTGTGCATTACCCGAAGGGTTCCCATAGGAATTTTGTTCTCAGATGGAGATGTTGGGAGTTGGTGAGACCTAATGAGGAGAAATTAGGCCATGGAGGGAATGGCCCCTGGAAGGATTGATATAGAGGAACTCCAGTTGACTGTTAAAAAAACAAAAACAAAAACAAAAAACAAAAAACAAAAAACAAAACACACATGGCCCTTCCCCAACCACACTGGCTTCCTGATTTATCAGGTGATCTCTCCTTCCAGCATATGCTGTCACCATTCAGATTTCATCTGCCACAATGTCTCTTTAGAGTCAAGCCCAGGCCTGTCATGTCCTTGAGCCTAAAGAACTAATGATTTAAAGGCACCTCTTTTCTTTACAAAGTTATCAAGATGCAGATATTTTGTTGCACTAATGGGAAAGAGACTGATGCAAATGGTCAGGCAGGAGAATTGGTAAAACTGGGAATTTTGAAAATGGGTGAGGACTGGTGGCTGGTTGGAGCTGGAGGACAGGGACAAAAAAGAATGAATATACCCATTCCTAGGTACTTACCTGAGAAACTGTGTGGGTGAGGATATTCCCTGAGATAAGAAACATGGAAACAATTTGGGAAGTAAGGCAAATGTTAAATTTGGGGGGGGGGGGTTGCCATCTATGAGACTATATAATTTAAGTTTATTTTAACTAATATATAGATTTATTAAAATAATGCATATAAATTGTCGTGTTAACAGAGTACAATAAATAATGCATATAAATCGTGCATATTAACAGACTACAATGTGATGCCTGAGTACATATTACATTCTGGTGCCCTCAGAGGTCAGAAGAGGGTGTCAGATCTCCTGGAACTGGAATTACTGATGAGCCACAATGTGGGTGTTGAGAATCAGAGCCAGAGCCTCTAGAAGAGCATCAATGTTTTTAACCACTGAGCCTCCTCCCATCCCTCCATCCCCCCACCCAATAGTCACCAAGTGCTAGGGAGCATGGTGACAGCTATTAAAGTGGATGCTAACAATACGCTCACACCCTTCACAGTGAGAGAGTCCAACAAAACAATGGGCAGAGGCTGGAGAAATAAATGCATTAGGGGTCAAGAGATTTCCTAGTCTATCAAAGGACTGAAGTTTAATCCTAAGTATCCACATAGATGGCCACTCCACCTCGTGGGGATCTAATATCTTCTCTTGGCCTCCGTGGATACCACAAATAAGCACATACATACACATATACAAATTAAAAACAAAATAAATCTTTTGAAATGCCATTCTTCAAAATGCTTCTTTTTTTCACTGAATGTTTATCCTAAAAGGAGCATGGACCCCCAGCTCTATGTGGGGTGGGCAGCTACTTTTACTACTTATCTGTGAATGAGCTGACTGGATGCCTCTATTTGGAACTTCAGATCCCTTTGGCTTCATTTCATGATGCACAGGCTCAGACCAGTAAACTCCCCTGGTTTCTGAGTGGTTGTGTTACAGAATCATTTCCCACCCTAGGAAGTTTCTGTCACTGCCACAGCTGTCGCCTCGGGCCTACAGACAGGCCTTCCCAAGACTGAAGAAGAAATCACTTTTCCAAACATTCTGAAAGTATTATTAAATTTGTAATTGTAAATAG